TTATTCACTGTCGACTACATTCTCACGTCATGCGTCGACTCGGAGGGAGATTGTCACATAGTGACTTTATCCAAAAACTTCTCGGGCCAAAGTGTCACGAATTTTTCAAAAACTTTGTTAAGGAAACCTGCTGTTTTGGGTTGCCATCTACAAATTCGTCCTCTGATCTCATCGAGGAGCATATAAATTAGTCATACAGATGATATGACAGTAAGGAATACAAGGCGAGAAGATTTGTTTTCTAGCCAGAAATTGGTAAATCTGCAGGGCTGGATAGTTTTGTGGTATGGAGTTTGATTACAGAGTTTGAATTTATGGACGGTTGCAGATTTTAAACTAGCTACTGATTGTGTAGTGGTTCACGCGGTGGAATTAAATTGGGCTTATCAGAGACATGATCTTGGCTGTGAAAACCGGTCCTTGACCCCCCGGGGATAACGGGTTAGACCTAGGACCTAAATTAATAAACAAAACAATCGTAGGGCTGTGCGTTCTAGCATACGGGTTGCGAAGTGGCTTCCGGTGACTAGGAACTCAGAGCACGCGTGTAATTCGTATAACAGAATGCCTATGGAGTTTGTTAAGTCAGACGTAAGTAGTTCATTGTTCTTTCCAATCCGAACAGGAAACTCGTATTGTTACGAGCACGCTAGTACATGATTACATAATAAGGCTCCCACCAATCTTCTCAACGCCGTATCCCGTGTTGGCCAGCTCGGTCTCTACAGACTACCGGAAGTGGCGACGCTTTTAAATAAGCCCGACATGTAATTATTATTTCATTTTATTGTCCTGTCTGAGTCTATGAATATGTAGGACATGCAGGTCCTCTCTGCCTACAGGCCAAGGATACCTATAACTGTAGTATATTCCCTCCTATGCCTCCCATACAGCTCCCCTCAAAGAGTATCACTCCTCAGAAGTCCTCATTCGATCATACACTTAGAGGAGCCCTTTTCCCTTCATTACCCCCCCCCTACAGCCAACGAAACGATGGCTACTTGCAGGTGTATGGCAGCCGGGAAAATCGCAAAATAAACTGGGTGCGGGGCTCTCCTAATACCGACATTAAGACTTAAATCCGAAGACGTAGTGATCCTTCTGAAGCGTTCAAAGAGGCCGGCCAGCTGAGCGCTGCAGACTTGTGGGTACCTCGGGAAAATTCAACCTCTGCCTTTCTAGCCTCCCTCCAACTCCTTCCCGAAGGTCATGCTGAAAAGCCAGGAATGTCTTGACAGAGCGTAATGGCTGTATAGTAGCTTAGCCTAGCTTCTTTTATGCCGTCCAGGGCCCGACATGTAGTAAATGGACCAAGGCCTGCCTGCCATGCACCCCGAACTATCGAAAGAAGTCTTAAATACTCCCCCGCTGAGACTTTTATTCTCTAGTGAAGCAGGGTAGATAATCATCTAAATCCGCAGGAAAGTTATCCATCACCTAGCCCAATAGTTCGCAGGCTTGGGCATTAGCCCTTACTTATGCTACTCGTCCGCGTCTAATCACGTGAATGATTCATGCCGCGTCCACACACACCTGGGATTTAGCAAGTTAGTTCCAGCAGCCTACTAGGGTTGAAGAGTTGCATTGGAGACTGTCAGATCATAACTGGGACAAGCCGAATTCAAGGATGAGGCGCGGGAATGAGGTGGAATGCAGGGTGAGACGAAATTTCTGCGATGCAGGATTTCGTAGCAGAGCCTTTCATATTTTTGGCTGCTGGACTCCTCATGGGAGAACACGTAGTTTCGGTAGGGTTCAGGTCCTCATGATGGCTCAGCGCATACTTGTTCTGCTGAGGTCGTGGATGTGGACCGGCCCGGACCGGCCCGGTCGTGCCTGAGTCCCACAAGAACTACCATGCGTGTGAATCACTTATCGCGCACAATCCTTACAAACGACTGCCAATCACTCAAATACAGCCATAATAATCTTCTATCCAACGGGGGATTTCAGGCCTTTTCCCAACGCAGTTAGAAATTTCTCTCGTCGGCTCCAAGTGTCATGGAAGGCCTGGTTGATAGCTTAAATATCCGATTGAAAAAGAATTAAGAGAGCTTGGAGCCGAGCAGCATTGCCGCGCCAATAGACTGAGTCATGAGTGATAACTGACTGTTACGGCGTACGCTAAGGATCCTGAAGATCGGCGTCTGCCGATGATAATGTGGTGATAACTACGACTTTAAATATTAACGAAGGATACTTAGAGATACTTGAACCGGCGAGGTGCGAGGTGGTTAAAAACAGGATAAACAAAGGATGGTCAGAAGAGACTAGCCAAGAAGTCTAGTTGCCGAGCAAATGAATCAGTCTGATGAATTAAGATCAAACGAGGCACGAATAGTGTAATGAGAAATAAAAGACTGTGAATATCGGATTATGAGGACATAAGATTACAATATTATATGATTGCTAAAAATTGAGATTAAAAGATTGAGAATGTGGAGAGCTACTTTCTAGCAGCTCCAACTTCCTCAAGTTCACTCAAGACTGTAGTAGAACTCAACTGAGGCTATAGCAAGATGTGATCATGACTCTAGCCCCTCCAACTCTAACCAATTAGTTTTCCCGAGAACCTCCTTCTTAAACCTCATTCGAGGTAGCCTAGCCATAACATCAACCTTGTAAAGAGATAAGATGGATAGAAAGATGGGCACAAGCCTAGCATTCATAGAGTGTCACGGTGGGTCACAGGTCAGGTTCTGGTGGTTTAATAATGTAACTGCGTTGTGCGATAGTGAGGAAAGATTGACTACAGGAGGGATCATTACTGGTATCCTAGTGTACGGCGCTAGCTCTTAGTCCCGTGACATAGAGCATGACACGGGGAAGCCTAGTCCTTCCCCGACAACAATATACGACGATAAGAATGTTTGTCATTTGGACTACTCATGTTGTGAGTGCATTCGTTGATACCATTCGAGACCTTTGAGCCAGAGACTCTCACCCTTCCCTCAAGCGTGAATATCCACCAAAGGGAAAAAAGGAAAGACATTTGGCTAACCTAACATTCCTTTGCCATCTTGTATGTAGCCATCGCGCAAGTTATGGTCTCACAGACCTCCCTTTCTCGAGAGAGGTAGGTGTTCCAGCTACCCGGGCCATAACTGGGGGAGATGAAAACCAGGTGACGGACTAAAACGTCTTCCATCCTTGCCTGCTGCAAGAGTGTCGGTGGCACTGTCCGAAATCGGAGCCTCGGCGCCCACAAGTACCCCAAAGTCGAATACAGTCGAAAAATGGGAGTCCCAGTATGCCCATTTGTGACCTCTTCACTCGTTCGTCTCAGCTGCTTGTCCTTCCTCAAGATATGAAGGACCATTTGAACAATGGTCTCTCATAGACCAAGACCCGAGCTTTGTAAATTATGACTTAGTTTCCTCCTCGTGGGTATACATAAAATCGTAACCTTATGGAGGGAAATAGCCGACTTTCGATAGGGCAAGCTCCCATTTACAATTGGAGTGACGCTTTTATCAGTAGTGAAGGCGAAGTGGCGTAGTAATATTGAGGTAGAGGACTCGCGAGAGAATGATAAGTCTGAGATTGACGAGAAGTCGTCGATTTTGGACATGCTTGGGGTTGCTTTCGACTTCGATTCGGTTGCTATTCTTATTGGCTATCCCAAAAATGCAGATCAAACTGAGCAGTTACACCCGCACTACTGCGAGGTGGAGAATTTGTCTTTGCCGGCTCCTGAGAGGTCTGGAGATGAAGTAAAATAGGTACTTTGAACCTCTTAGTTGCTGGTAGAAGCACTCCGAGCATTGCTAGTCTTGTCAAACCTCCATTGCTTCTTCGCGCTGCAGGACAAGGCAAAGGTTGTAATAAAATGTCTAATAAGTATCGACAGGGAGGTTGCACTGTAACGTAGCCTCGTCAACAACAAAAGGCCTCCCATTTGACGCGCAACTACAGCTTAGCCTGCAGATTCTCAGGTGATAGAATCAGTCCTAATGGCAACGATATCAACATGAGGTGAGCCCTCAGCGGCGACCCCTCCATAAATGAAACATGAACCTCAGCAGCGTATCAGCAAATGTCGTCACTAGCTACGACAAGGGGTTGGAATACTGCAATAGGGGTATGCCAGCTGCTTCGGGAAATAGCTGTCCCCGGTTCGATATGAGACGACAATTACTGGTCTCTAGATTACTTCTGCCAACTCTATTCATTGATCATCACTTCCAAATGGAAGGTTAGTTTCGATAATAAGCGAGTCACTACTTGTGTGTCACGGTCGATGATAAGTATATCACAGATGGCAGGTAAAATTTATTTAGTAGATGCTCACTACTGTAAAGGGTCACATGCTGCATGTCCTACATAGTCATTGACTCAGACAGGACAATAAAATGAATTAATAATAATAATAATAATAATAAAGGGTCACATGATGGGATCGATTAAAACGTAGGAAAAGCTGTTATTATCGCTGGAATAATTCTAAACTTCTTTATTTCTTTGAGCAAGAAGTAATCCTCAGGAGTATTCATGGCAATTACCCCGACAACTGTTTATCCCCTCAGATTTTAAAATGTGCAGCTTCATGGTGATAGTAGGTTGCATCTTCCTCCTTACCACTTGCTGCTTTCCCCCATCACGAGGTAAAGAAAATCTGGACCATCGCGAATGTGAATTCTTTGCTTTGCACATTTGAGTGGTGGTTATTACGATATTTGACTGTGATGGTAAGTATGTTGAGTTTATGCCCCACTGCCTACACCATTTTCATTAACATAGCGTTTCACGTAATGCAAGAAAGAAAGCGAGGAAAATCCCTATTCCTGCTAGCCCTACCATTCGTCTCAAAAAATTGTTCGAGGCCAGCATGAGGAACTAAAAACTTCAAACAACCAAGGCGTAGGTTTCAACGGCAAGGCATTTCTAGAACTTAACGTTATACTTGGCTGCGTTTCCCTTTCATAGAAGACCCCGCGAGAGGTGCGGGCTGGAGCCCATTAGCACCATCTAGACCGAGCTTTGACGAAGATAACGCTAGCTCAAGTTAGATTTACCTCTTGCTTTTTTTTCTCGAGTTCTGCCAATTTATTTTCGAGCATTTGCACGTGTGAATGCACTCGTAGAATATTGTCTCCGACAGACTGCAATCATAAGTTAGCACGGTCCGCAGCACTGGCCCAATTTATATATTGTTAGGGGCACGAAGACGGAATCCGGAGAGGTGGCATACCTGGATATTTCCCGTCAAGATTTCATTGGACATCTTGTACTCTTGTAGAATGTAATAGTATACAGCAGCCGCGGTCAGGGTGGTGCCCAGAAGAAATCCGAAAAGCCTATGAATGGGATCTCAGCGCTTGCAACAATTCAGATTTCCCGATACTAGGAGTTCGAGTAAGTATAAATATACTCGCCATTAGAATAGATCTTCGGCAAAACGCAGTGCGTAGAGATGGCGCATCGTACTGAGAGGGGAACCTAACAAATGGGGTGGTGACCTACCCTGCACGCATTGCACCAAATGGCTTTCTAATTGGTAAAGGCTCTGACACAGGCGCCGTTCGAGGCAATGCCGGCCGAAATGCTCGCGTAGCCTCAATACTTGGGACTAGATTGTACCTTAAAGGCTGCCATCTTGATTTGTGAAGTAGTGGCGTTGGTGCACAGGAAGTCATATGGGATTGGCTCATGTCGACAGAAACCGAAGGTCTGAGGAGGCGGGATGGCAAGTTGTTTGTACTCTGCAATACAGCCTAGAGACGACGTTTGTGATAGGCCTGAGAGGTTCTGTCCAATATCCGCTTGATGTGGTGAGGTGCAGCTGATAGGTCTTGCTTAGTCATTAAATTTCTCATATCAAGCCCCTTCGCACAAACAAGGCGCATCTATCTTTGAACTGCGATCGGGCTCAGTCACCTTCACCATGCCTCCAGTCCGTAAAATGTGTCCCAGCGTCTTGTTGGAAAACACGAGAGTCCACCCGAGGGCTCTCGAACAAGTACCCGGCCTTGCCCAGTCTCTGAAGTGCGCGGAGATGGATCAGGCCGTTTCGAAATGGAAGGATAAAGCCCTCCCCGCCGTCGCTGAACCCGATACTGACATGATCGGGTCAGTTGAAATTTTTTAGGAAATTCCTCAACCATCCTCCGTCCCTCACGGGACTGGAGAATCATCTAAACCTCCCCTGACCGCGTCAAAAGCGTCGGATAACGCTGCACCCAAAGCAGCGCCAAAATTAACGTCGCAGCCAAAAGCTGCCACGAAATCAGACTACCCGCCCGAGCTTCGACCCATTGTCGAGGCTGAACAACGACGCGCCGCCGAAATAGCGGCGAATCTGGCACTCTGTTCCACCGCCATCTCTGGCGTCGAAGCAACCTTTCTCCCATTAACCAATGGAACAATTAGACAATTTGTAGACTCGAGAGTCTACCTACGCGTCGCCATTGCGCAATACATGGCCTCGGGCCCGGCTTCCACGCCACCCGTCCTCCCTCCTCGCCCTGCGAATCCTCTCCAAAGGGCTCCAGACGCCAGGAGCACAACAATTCCCGCCGTCCCAACGCTGCCTGTAAAAAGCAGCTGGGCCACAGTGGCCAATAACGGACTGCGGCAAAAAGCAGTCCCCACATCAAAGGCTGTGGCGCATCCTGCGTTAAAGGCCTCAAAGAAAGAGGCTCCGAAGGTGAAAGTCGACAAACAACTATTCCTTCGCCTAGAAAAGGATCACCCGTGGCGCAAGCTTCCACCTAGCGCTGTACGGCAAGAAATAAGGCATGGGCTACAGAACGCCGTGGGTGACGGCATCTCCGTAAACCGAGTCAGAACCGGCTTTGCGATTCTGACAACGGATGAAAATACAAGGTAAAGACTCTTAGATACCGCACCAAATTTGTCGGACTGCAACGCCAAGCCCGAAGAAGCCTCCAACCTTGTCGACTTTCGGATCGCGAATGTTCCCGCGAACATAAGAGAATAAGACTATATTCATACGGTCATCACTAATTGAATCTCATCGGAGATCTACAGTAAAACACGACAGCTGCCAATCCAGTTGCGACTGCACGGGACATGCCGTCCTGGGGCGCCGTATAGAAATTGGCAAGCCCTGTTTGCTTGGGGCTTAGTCGCTCGTGCGGGCTTCTGGATTCTCGACGAGTCTAGAGTGGTCACCTTTCATAAGCCTCGTCGCCAAATTGAACAGTGCAAATGCTGTTTGGGCTTCCACGCCACCCGTGGTTGCTCCCGCGATCCAGCCTGCTAGAAACATGGATCAAACATGCACTCGGATGCCGAGTGTAGAGCCCTCACTAAGTGTCACAACTGTTGGGGACCCCATCGATCAGATTCTCGGGACTGCCAAGCCAGACCTAGGAAGTCCAGACCGGTGACCAAAGAGCAGCTCGCGTGGATCCGCCAGATCATGCAAGGGGAGTTCACAGAGGTAGCTCGAGCTAGGGCCGCAGCCAAAAAGGCCGAGGAGGCGATCATCGCCGCGGCGAAGAATGTCTCAATGGCCGAGGTAACAGGTTTCGGAGTGTTGGAATCTGAAGAAGAAGCTTGAGGGAATAGCAACCTCGAAGATGCCTCTAACAGGTATTTACTAACCAATAGCAGGATACCGGCTGGATCAAAGGTTCTTGCTAATTCATCTCTTCCTCTCAGCGGAGATGGAGTAAATTTGTCATTTGGAAGGTGTAACGGACCAGGGAATGTGTGAGGAGCGCATTGCTTGGGTCCAGTTTGGAGGAATCTTCTGTCTTTCGGAGTTATTTTGATTTTTCGTTCCTTTTTAATAAGCTGCACTTTTGGTAGCGATTCACGAAGGTGGTATGAGTTTAGGCTGTAAGAAAAGTTACAGGGAACCTTGCCGGCTCCACCGGTCCTTCACTCAATGTGGATAAAGAGCGTTAGCTTAGGACCTATTCGTAATTAAAAAAATAAAACAATAAAAAAAAGACGCATCAACAGCACAGTTCTAAATTGAATCGGCGATTAAGTATCATATATCACATATGATTTATATCCTCTCAAGGAGAATAGTTGCTAGACACCGTAGGTGGTGATTTCCAGGGACCTGGGAGTGATATATTTCCCATGAGCCGAAATGGCCGTGGGAATGAACGGCGTTAGCAAGTTTTTGGTTGGAACCCGGGCCACAGGAATTTCTCGATTGCTCAACTCAACGAAATCAATAGTCTGGACCCCAAATATGAACCACGGCTAGCATAAAACCTACCTGATGATCGTGTTAGAACAACCGGCGCTCTCTGCCATACTCTTTTTCCCACGAAAGACCTTTTTCAGCTCAACTCATCTAGCGATCCTCCAACGATAATCTCACCGTACACCAGAGTATTATAACAATCCGCGAAAGATACAAGAGGATACCTAACCCACGAAACTCTTTTGCGCCTTAGATACACGTTCAAAACACCGGCCTTCACTTCTTGTACACGTTGGCCAGAGGTATTACCAACCCGAACTACGACGAGTCGATATTTACAAAATATGTGCGGTACCTCGTCGGTATATCATTCAAAAAACTCAACAATGGCTTGGGCTCCGGTGCTTCAGTCCTAAGTTCCTACTCGCACATTCGGCCTCTTTTGTCAGGATTGCGACAGTCACAGGGCAAATTCAGATAAATGGACAGATTTTCATAGATCCTCAAGGGGAAATTGCCGAGAAGATAAAGGAGATGCTAAAATTATGGAGTTAACTGGAGTTAGAACCCATGAACTCTATTCATGCGGCTGCCCAAGGCCTCTAATGCAGAAAGTGACCCATGTATAATAGTAGAGACTGTAATGCGACTAGGCCGGGATTAAACGGAAGGGAAAAGATCAAAGAATGGGAAGAGCTCGAGCGCGATGGGGCTGAGTATTAGGAGAATTCGCGCTTTGGCCAGCCAAAATGGGGTTCTCTTGACGATCAGACTGAACGTGATTCAGGACATGGGTGAAGTCTGAGGTATTCCGGTCGTTAAGATAGGACGAGTCTTATGTGCTCTCTAGTAACTGGCCTATTCCAACCTGGTTCAATCCGTGCCCAAGTTGTGAAAGGATTGCAGATTGTGCCAGTAGCCTGACACGTTGACAAACACTCATACATGCATACGCCGAACCTTGGCTATTTCTCTCACAGTGCTTGTGTGCGGGATGACGAAGTTATACGCAGGTAACCAACGGTTTTGAAACTATCGTCGGTTGGATACGCACGGACGAGGGTCGATGGTTCTGCGTAAAAAATAAACGTCATAGTGTTATTTGCCTACCGAGTCCAGAGTATGAGTGTTCCTAAAGTCAAAATAATTATCTAGTATGTTCAAAAATCGTACGTCATGTGCCACATGTAGATCCCTCTGTCCACAATGGATTGCTCTTAAGGGCATAAATTTTCATATTTTCTCAGATTACTATTCCGATACAAACCTGTGAATTCAACTTAAATTATAAAGTTCCATTGATTGGCGCCTAAATACCGTGAACAGGTCCCATTAAACCCCATACCCAATTAATGTGGTTTACTTACATAACGTTAAGATATTCAGGTATTCCGTGCGCTCAGACTATCGTTAACTAATTAAGTGACGCCTCTAATGTTTGAGTCACCCTTGCTCAAGGATTCTCCCGCAAGAATCAAGATCAGGAAGGTAGAAGGAGTCAGTCTATTTCAAGAAGTTTATCGCTGCGTATGGGGCATTGATAGCAGCTATCTTCCTTTTGGCGAAAGACTTGTTGTCCCAGGTTTTACGGGACAAAGCTTACAGAACTAACTCACAAATGCTGTGAACCAGGCCGACTGATTAAAGATGGGCCTATTAGCCTCGAAATAAGTAAATACATGTCAGGAAGGAGATAAAGTGCGCCAATAATTTGAACATCTGTATAGTAATTTCTATGCCGCATATTTGATTTGAGATGGGTAAACAATATTAATCCATATATACAGATATGTTATGGCTGTCAGGAGCCGTCAAACATGTAGGGATTAAAATGAGCTATGTATGTACATCTTTATTACAGAATAAAGTTTGAATAGGCAAGATTTTGAGGTGAAGTTCCACGTACCTATTTGGTGATCCAAAGGAGTGAGCGGGAATTTCTGTGCAAATTTTCAGCCAATCCGTACTGAGAGAGTCACCACTAAAATTCCAGCGGGTTAAAACCAATAATAATAAAACTCTAAAAACTTTTCATTCCCTCAAATTGGGTCCAAGTAATATGTTTCTCACGCGTTAAGTATCCTTTCACATTCCAAAATAAGCAAATCCCTCGTTCTCCGCTGAGGACAAAAGATGAATTGATAGAATTTCTCCGTACTGTACGAATCTCTCTTCTAAAATGGTTTGAAATTGCTAACTTTTTTCCTCGCGAGAGAATTTATAGTTGACCTCCATTGCAGTATTCTAGGAAACGATTAATATGTAGAGTGATTTATTAACTAAAGCAGTATTGGCACTAAATTTAACGATAGGCTTTGAGCTTTGGATCCAAAACTGACTAATCGAAAAGCGGAAGCCTGCGCGATGGACGGAGTCCCGCGGGATAAATGCATGCCATTTTTGGTATGTTGTAACTGTACGGCTCCACGGAACGAGCCGCACATGAATTGTGCCCGATTTGATCACTCAAACGATCTCGTTGGTGTCTATGTCAGCAATTATTATGACAAGGCCACCCAGCTTGTTGATCATCGCTGATACAATGGCGATCTGGGGAGCGACAAAGGTCGAAGATCACTTAAGTTTGGCGTTGAATCTCACCACTTTTTAGAGTTACACAGGATGGTATTTCGTAGCTCATCGTTATTTTTCATAATCGCATTTTCGGTTCTCGCTTGGAGAATTGGGTGGATAACTGAGGACGCACAGATTAACTGCTACATTACTGCTTATCATATAACCCACTGGAGATGACTGGCGCCTTATTTGATTCACATCAACATGTAAGAATAGTCTTTCATCAAAGATCGCGTTCTAGCTGTTCTTATTTACTAAGATGGCCAAGAATGTTGCTGCAGCATTAGCCATCGGGGTCATGATGTTGCGCATTGTTTTTCGAGCTACCGGAGCCTAGGTGTTATTTGTAGTTCTGGCTAGCGCAGCGGAAGGGTGTGCACTCTGCTTAGGAGCCCTCGGAAGGGAGGATAATTGGCGAAGAAAGACAAATGGCCGTGCTGAGCCCGGACCAGCAGCCACAAACTGAGTAGTTGCTAGTCGCAAATAGAATCTCATTAAGCCGACAAAGCTTTTTTTTACTACTCGTGAGAAGACTAGTATTTGTATCGACGCTGCTGACTACCGTAGTGCCGGCTGAGATTTATACCGTAGCCTGCACTTCTTAGTAATCTTCAGCTTCCATGATAGAACGGAATTCCAGAATTTAATGCTGTGCAAGCTGGTGTTTTTTTCTCTACGTCACACCTCGGCGAGCGCACTTGTCTGTGTTTTTGTCGTAATATTGGAAGCAGTAACTGAATTATTGGACAACTTGGCAAAAAATTCCAATGTCTTAGTACTGCATTGCCATCTTTGTGATGACAGATTACCGTTCACTTGGTCGACAATACTTTGATTTACTGACGTTGCATAATTGCGAGTAAATAGCATTAGCCAATTGTGGATAGATGAAATATTAGTGGCCTATACTAGCACACGTTTAGAGAATGATACCTGACCGGTGGCAGGGGCGAAAAAGATATCAAAGAATCCTAAACCTTGAGTCTTGAAACTCCAGAGCGGGATTTTTCAGTAAATTAGCGAGGTCGGCAAGTGGCACCTTCCGTAGTTATTTGAAGTTTATTTTGACCGGGACCGGGATAGAACAGGTTGACTGCCATTTACAACATAAATATCGTCCCGCAACAATGTTCAGACCAACACGGACTTTGACCATTTCTTAAATCTTATCTTTTCTAGTCGTTCGGAAGATCCGCTGTCACAGCACCTCAGCCCATGGCGATCTCGTAACCTTAATTTATATTGTCGAGTCCCAACTTTACTTTGTTTCAGCAGGATCTCACCTTGCTCTGGAACCGTTTTCCAACCTAATAATGCATATTATTTCGAAATGGAATATCTGCATTTCTTTGTTTTGTTTAAATGCTGCATCCCCTGGTCCATCGACCGACTTATCATTCTCAGGTATTTAATTTCACCTATATCTACGACCCAGTTCCATTGCTGCTAGAACTCTAATAATGAAGAGCTGGGTACCGGGAACCCAATTTGCGGCTGGTTCTCTAATTCATAAGCCACTAGAATTTCATAGTCATTCTGTGGGCGGCGTATCTGCGATGGATGAGTTGATAAAATTGGTTTAGGTGTAAATAGATTTTAGTGTTAGAGAAACAGATCACGCACAGTAAATAGAGAGTGGAGTCTCGAGTACCCCATAAAACGACTCACTTAGTTGCGAGCTATAGGCTGGCTAGACAGTACACGTGTCAGCTAGTTTTCACCAAGTAATATTAGCGGCGAGTCGTAGAGACGATCTATCGAGAGAAGTAACATTCATACTCGGATGACTCAAGTCATTGACAAAGCACTTCCCAGTCTTTCGAGAGAATGATATACGTTCAGAAAAGAGTGCATTTTTTGACCAGGGTTGGATTTATGGGGACTTCTATAAAATCCAACTCATATCACTACCATTGGACATCAATTCAATCCTGATTCATCTACGCCTTACATTTGCTGTGCACTGTCTCTTCTCAAATTATACAAGTGATCAGAACACGTATATTTTAAAATTTAGGCCACTATAATTACCGTTCCTAAACTTCATACGGCATTTATCGATAGTTTCACCCTCTATCGTTCATTTGATAATGGTTCTGTTAATTGGAGTTTAGGGATATTAGTGTGAGAGTTCCAAGATGTATCGAGTTGGTAAGGGACCTCGAGGAAAATTAGAGCAAACGTAGCGTCGGCAATTTACTTCAGAATTCTACATGCTCGAAACCATTTACGGATCAAATTTGGGGTTAAGCTGATTGAACTGGTAAACTTTTGTCACAAGATCTCTTTACTTTGAAGTTTTGACGAACATTCTAATGCAGCTGCTTCCAACTGCCATTTCATCAAAATCCCTTGTTCGTAGCCAAGATTTGACATGTGTAAAATTTCCTATCCAGATCTTTAGAGAACACCATCGATGTTTGTGCAGCCCTCGCCTTTTTCGTGGAACTCATCTTGGAATTCTCATGGCTAAAGCGTGTCTCGAAATCCTGAACTTGATCATTAACTACGTATTCAATTGTGTATGTCGAACGCATTAGCAGGGTTATTTATATAGATTAGATGAGAGTTTTGATTATGAAGACACTAGTAGTCTGAAATTTACTTGCATATACTATTGCGTCGTATATTTTCACCCACAAATCAGTCAACCCTTACACATGAGAAGTCGAGCGAAGAGGTTCGGAACTACTGTTTATCCGTGCAAGCCCTTGTCATTTGGCCTGTGCGCAGTATAAGTAATTTGGACTGTTTCAACTGGGTCAGGGTTGGATGGTGCAGTGGTACACTATGCGGGCCTTTCTCTAAAGCCTATTCAAGGTAGCTTGTACACTAATCACATTAGTGGTTGGAGATTTAGTTTAGATCATGGTTCTGTCTGAGACAATGAAAGCAGAGCTCTCCTGCACCCACAGATTAGACACAGGTTATGTTTTTTCTTTTCTAATTTTACAATTTTTAACTATGAATTGAGATAGGAGAAAGCTGGTTCGAATCCAGTAAACCCGCACGCCATATTCTCTCGCGGTGATGTTGTATTTGTGGGATGATGAAAGCACACTTGGATAGCCACAGGTTTTTCACGCTTTTCCCAGCGGTGAGTATTCACGGAAGAGGTTATACGCCGTAAGGGCTAATCTCGAGTGGTATCTGCAAATGGAATTTAAGTGTGAGTGTTATAAAGGTCAAATTGAGTCATCCTAATTACAGCACATATCTTCCGATAAAACCTGCATGGGCCTCAAGGCGCCAAATCAGGAAAATTTGAAGAATTTATTTATTATTACTGGATCCGAGCCAGGAATCGCCCGACTTAGCTGGGATAAGAGCCGGCATTTAAAAAATCTTTACTTTCCAGCAATGCCAGTGTAAATACTCAGTACGCTCTGCATACTGGGGATAGCCAAGAATAATGGCATGCGAATCGAAGTCGAAGATGAATTCAAGCATTTCTAAAATCGACTACTTTCCATCAATGTCAGTCCAACCGTTTTCTTTCAAGTCCTCCAACTCAATCCTACCACGTACTACCTCGCCTCGACGGTCGATAAAGGATTTTATACGATTACAAACGACAGCTTGCCCCACAAGCCACCAGTCATTTCTACTACATAATTACGACGATACGTATACCAGCAGGGATGAAACTGACTCGTAATATACAAAGCTCGAGTCTGGGCCTAAGGGCGACCATTACTTTTGTGGGTCTACATAACTCGAGGGAGGGTAGGCGACTGAGATGTGGAATGAGATCAGAGTGAGTCAGTGGGAACGATAGGACTGACATTTACGAGTGTTTCGACTTTGGGGTACTTGTGGGCGCCAAGACTACGATTGATTGATTTAAATTTAAGCCTCCACTGGGTCCTAGACTGTGAGAGAATACTTCAGGACCTACCTAAATAGCTCCTTAATTTATTGGTTAATTCCTAATTTGAATATTACAATTATATGCCAGTTGATCCTGAGGGTCAAGCCCTAATCGAGGCTACGATTTCGGATAGTGCCACCAACACTTTTGCAGCAGGCAAGGATAGAAGACGTTATAGTCCATCTCCAAGTTTTCATATGACAAATTAACGATATTCGATATACAGATATCGCCGTCGCCATTTGATCGTTCTATGGAATAACTGTCACATGATGCAACCACTGTCATTGGCCGAAGCCCGATTAGGTTTAATTATATGCCTAATAATCAAGGCACACATTACTGTTTCGTAGTATAAATCCAAGTATAACATGTAGTTCCCCACACGACTCATTAGGCGTGGAAGAAGTCTGGATCCACCTCATGCAAATATATTCTTAGAAGTCGAATGAGATTACAACACGACAACGAGAGCTTGGATATGGAGGAGGAGGCAGCTCAGCCGCCTGCTACAATTTGGCAAGCTCTAAATGGCCTCAAGCGCTTGCTCAGCTTTGAGGAGCATGAGCCAGACGCCAACTCCATGGAGCCTACGATACTTATGCGCATGTAAAGAAGCCACCAGCATCAAGCAGACCCCGACAGAAGGCAAGGTACGTTATATAGATGGGTTGAATAATCTAAGGGATAGAACTATATCACGTTTGATCTGCGAGGTAACATTAGAATATCATTAAGTGGGCAATGTGATTAATTATGTTTGTGCGTCATGTCACGTGGTCACGTTCTCCACTAAAACGCTACAACGATACAAAATAGCGGCACGAAATCACATCGTTGTAGCGAGTCCTCACTATACTATGTTCTGCTTTCGCCCCATTGAGCCTGCGCCACCCTAGGTCCATGCATAGACCTAGACGCTTTGGGAGTGCGCAGCCACTCCACAGGGCCGACCTGTATAAACTCATAATTGCGCTGCCATCAATTCTGATCTCACCTCACCTCGTTTCTTTCCTCTTGGTGTCGGCCTCGCTGAAGCCATCGATTCGAAGCACTGACCAAGCACCTTCGCAAACTTCTGTGCGGCGGCGGCGACGGGCCCAGCAAGGCCACCCTCTCGTTGAGTCTCTCATCAGGCTAGCCTTGTGAGGGTTGTAGAAATGGCTTTGTCCCAGCGGCTTGATACTCGTCACATCCCCGGCTCGGGGCTACAGGTGGGAATCCAGGACCTTGAACTTATATCATGGCATGCCGGCGCCAGAGATGCAGGTGCAGATTGGCCGCAGCTTCAAAAGCAAATGCAGTGACAAGCTGACTTTCCCAACTGGTCGCGTCGCAAGGCGTCTCGATCAATCAGGCAGCTGGAGTTCCACAGCCATTCGTAATCCCCATGAGGAATGGGCGCATGTCGATCAGAAGGCCCGCAATTCTGGATGCCAGCCCATCGCACGCTCCAGGAAAAGAAAGAGTGTAGGGCGGGGGCTATTTTGGAGGCAACGTGTGAGAGTTATGGCGCGGTTCCAGGCGCGGTAGAAATGCAGGCGGGTATCCCGCCTGATGATGACATACTTCTGTTATTCGAATGGTATGATGGGGAAACGAGGAACCAGCTTTACTCGTCCGTCTCCCCAACGACCCAATTCCTCTCTCATGCGATTCTACGAAACTAGGGCCGAGTCGAATGCTGGTCAGGAAGTCTCCTTTTTTTTCCCACGAGTTCTCAGAACTCTCCACCGCCAAAGGCAATTCAGTCAGGATGGGCCAGGTTACGTTACAGAATACACGCTCTCTCGATACTTTTTGGGCACTTCGACCCGACCTTTGTTCTTACACAACGCACGAATGACGGAATGAGCTGGGCTTAGGCTAGGAATATTGAGAGAGTTTGTCTTGGGTACCCAGAAGTCAGTTGTACCCGAATTTTCGACGTCTACGATAACTTCAGAACTGTAGGTATGTTGTGAGAACTAGATCTGGTGTTCGTATGGAGTAGCCCCGCACAATGTGGTTCTTGGGATAATTCTCGACTGCTAGACTCTCGCAAAAGGCCTTTACTCTACTGTTGGGTCGTGGAAAATTGTGGAGGGCAAAAGGTTTTTATAGGTGCATGGCCAGATAGAGGTTTGTGGAGAATGATGTTATTGAGGGGGCTGAAGGGGAGGCATGGGAGGATATTTATCACCTGAGGCATCATAATTTTAGTGGCTCGAAGGTGCAGCAACGCACATTCCGGGACGGTCTAATTAGTACAGTCTTGTTATCCTGGCCAAGTATCCCCATGGAGAAAGGAGATCGCCGATGCGAATGCGGCATGCCCCGACAACTTTTGACGTGGCTCTGCGGAGAAAACAATGATGCGGGAATGATGTGGTGGCCAAAGATTTCCGAGTTTACCCAGTGACGCGGAATAGAACAAGGCGAATATGCCCGGCTCCGATACGGCGGCCAATGAGGACCAAACTTTTGATTCCTGGGGATATCGGTAGAAGCATTGCCTCTGCACGTTCCATGGCAAATCACATGTAGAGCGGCGGAATACGGAAAGGCTAGCATGAAGAATACCAACACCGGTATCCAGAGGATAGGACTAGATACCCGCTAGTGGAATTATCTTCGAAATTCAGGTCGAGATACTCCCTCACAACCAAGATCCGCTGATGCGAAGGGGTGGTATTAATTCAAATTGACGGATCAAGTTGGTCTCCAAACTGTATTTCGATGGCCGACAACCCTTTCCCAGGCAAATTCAAGCCTGTGACCCATCATGACTATCACCTCACCACCCACGACGACACAATCTGACAAGAAAACTCACGCTAGCAGTACAGTATCAATTCTTCTGGGAAAATTAGGGTTAAACATCTAGGAAATTGTGCATTCTTGACGTTTTCAACATCTACAATTACGGCAAAAACTCAACGACTTGATAGGAAGAGTAGAATTATATTTCCAGTCCCTACTGAGTTTCTGATTGTAGAGAATAGCGTTAAGAAAATAACAGGTTTGAACTATGCTGGTATCTGGTGAAGCAAAGCGATATTGCATTGAAAAGCATGACAAGTGCTCAGATGTATTATGGCCGAAGCATGGGAGGTTTGACGGTTGAGCTTAGTCAACTTTTTTCTGGAATGTCTGATGTAAAGTATTTTTGGATGTATTTATTGTGCTTTGTCAGTTTATATCTACACAGGTTCTTAAGGTTCACCCGGTTTATAGTCCAAGGATAACCTTGTATCTAGCGGTATTAACGCTCCTCCCTTACTGTACCTTTCAATTAGTACCATCCCATTTACGTATTGATGCGATTATGAGCTTCATCCTATCCTTAAGCTACTATTCCCTCTCCTATCCAATCATAGAAAATAGGGCTCTGTGTGGGGCATCCCTACTTTTGGTCTCTGAAATAATTTTGTAGATCTGGTCTGCTTCTGAAGCGTTCAGAGATTCCAGCCAGCCAGGAACTTCAGAGTTGTTTGAACCAAGCGAAAAGTTATCTCTGTCCCCTTAGACTTCTTTCAGCTCATGGTCATTGGTTCCTCGTGTGCAGTCGCAGGCCTTATTGAAATGTCAGTCAGTCTTGGCTCAGAGTGTGTAGTTTAAGTAGCCGAGTCCAACTTCTTGTGCCGTCTCGGGTAGTGGATGGTGCCACATATTCATTGTCGGCAGGAGCCCTTCTGACTAATGATGGACTTATCCTCAGCTCTACGGGTTTGGCAATAAGATTCTAGAGTTAGCAGAGGACATTTTGGAGAAGCTTCAAGCTTACAAATCCTAGTGGAATTTTATGTTACAACATTGTCACTGTTATATGTTCCTGAAGTAATAGAATTCGCAACTTTTGTTGGACATCGCATCTGTTACCTAGCATCTGCTAATTATTATGATATTTGGCAATTATAAATAGAGGGCTGCCTAGAGCGAAACAATGAGCAAGTCCAGCTGTAGTGGATAACGGAGAAACGTAAAGTGTGAGCTATGTTCTCAACGTTGAGCGCGGGCCAGTGTAAACGATCTTCGGGGAATTTCCCAGCGGACGGTTAGGTGACTAGTAGTGATTGTCAGGCGATCCATGGCATCGTGGACTATTGACCAGGTTGAAACATGCTCGACTGATTGTGATCTCTCCGTAGACGAGGCCGATCGATTCGTTGGATGCGCAGCTGGATTCCATTGAAGGATAGCGTTGTTTCCTTCAATGCTAGCTATTTTGTATAAGCTTATATTGAGGCAGAACGCATGGGGTAGACCTAGGTGTATGTGTGGGGTCGGCTGAGATGGTGAGCGACAACGCACAGGAATGGAGTTGAGCACGGGCTCAACGCCTCCGATCAACTGTACCTAGTTGGATGGTTAGTGGCCCTGCTTTATAAGCATGGCACTCTTCGCATCGGCGATGCTAGCGCTAAAAGGGAACAGGGCGTGGCATCTAAGAGACCGTGCTGTCAAAAAACATCATTACCCCCATCCCGGTCCGGGCATGACTGACATTTCAGTAAAAAAATTGATTAACTTGAGCACTGCAAAGCACAAAGGCAAAATACTCTCGGAAACTCGATATCATTCGCAGGGTAAATACGGCAACGACCCGAAGTTCACCTCATCTGACGAAGCAAGAATTGTGTGGCATGACCATTGCTGGTGGGTTTGAATATGCAGGGCTTGTGAAAAAGTACTTCAGTAAGGCCGGTCATGCGTTCGATTTAGCCACTCCAGGCTCGAATGGTAGCACCTTGAAGGTTAAAATATACATTGAAGGACCAACGGAGCGTCGTGTTAGACTAAAGAAGTCCCACTCATGCCACTATAATCCATCACATGTTCCACGTCTAGTTGTTACATTAGTACTTTGGGATTTAGACCGTGATTCAGTAGGATGTACCTCAGAAGTGAATCATATTCCATCAAGCCCTGCCGACAAATGTTTATGGGCTTAGTCGCACCTGTGAGTGATCTGATGGCTGTCATATTGAGATGTTTTTTTAAAGTTAAAACAAGCTGAACCAACTTTCTCAAGTCCGAGCCACGCTCACTCAATGTCCCGAAGACCTATAATTTTACTCTGTATTGCTAGTCTTCCCTCACCACGAGGCTACGGTAGAAAAGATGCACTGCTAGCGACCGTGTCATAAGTTATCCTAGCACTGGTCACATCAGATATATCTCTTGACTCGGAGTATCGATGCCTCAGTTTCCTCTGAAAGAAGCACCGCCAGGTTTAACATAATGAGAGGCTGGTGACTGGTGAAGAAGAAAGAAGGCGTCAGGAGAGTCAACTTTTCTTGATCCTTGTCATTGGCCCTTGGTGGGATGTTTCACACTAAAAGTTTGGGCGACGCTTTAAGATACGCCAATAACTTCGGCGGCCTAGCTGGCGGCCCTCTTTGAACGCTTCAGAAGGATGACTATCTCTTCGAATTTAGTCCTAATGTCGGTATAAGGGGAACTCCGCACCCAGTAGTTTTAGCGATTTTTCCCGGCTGCCATGCACCTGCAAATATCGAATGAGGAATTGTGTGGTGATACTGTTTGAGGGGAGCTGTGTGGGAGGAATAGGAGGGGATATACTACTGGTAAAGGTATCCTTGGCCTGTAGGCAGAGAGGACTTACATGTCCTATGTCGGCATACACTTAGACAGGACAATGAAACGAACTGACGAATTAATAAAAATATAAACTTCGGCAGCCTTACAATGAGTTAAAGGCATCCGCAGCATAAGCTCATAAAGCGATCCTTAAGTCCATTTTGCCTATTTCATAAATTAGGAGTCCGGCAGACTGTTCAGAGCATTCACTCGCCGCAGCCGAGAATTGGGGAACACGGAGGAATTGAGATGACCATCTTGCAACCACTGACAGATCTTTGGTTTCAAGGTCCTGCCAGCTTAGTTCGGCTTTCTCTTAAAATGGCAAGGTGGTATCCAAGAGGCAGCGGCCCGATACCCTTCGGTACCGACCGTGTCCACGAACCATGAGACTGGAACTTCCAGAGAGGCTCGTCAACCCTGCGTATCAGCTCTGTGGAGTGACATTGATAAATTGTGCTGAATCCCATGCACACTTAGGATGGCAATCACTTTGCGTGCATGTGTGTTCTCTAGCCAGTATGGAAATTTGGTAAGGTCATCTCTAGCAGCCTGGAATCAATTGTCGTATTGAGCATCACAAGGATTCAATCATCGCTGCGCCATTGTGCCGTGAAAGAGAAGCAGGTACCTTGAGATATTTGACCACCGACCTCCCATCTCGGATGCGGTAGCTAACTGCGCCGCCCAGGATACACTAGGGTGGCCGGGGCAGATGATAAATCGTAGCGCTATCGGGTCCAGGATATATTCCTTTTGCCTTTGGTGAGCCCGTTCATCCCTTTGTCTTGGCGCTGAACGTGGATCGGTCAATTCTCGATCGTCGGACAGCGCGATTTTTCGACGAAACACGGGAATCAAAATGTTTGTGAAAACAACCCCTTGTTATCTAACTAGGGTGATGCCTGGGACGAGATCATGACTGACATACTCCCATGCCAAGACCCACCTCAGAGATGCCCGAAAAACCGATAGCCGATCTTTACTCGTCATAGTCCTGTGACGCATATCGCAAGGTCATTGGCTACTATGAAGTGTAGATCTACCTTACATGTTAATATTGAATTACGTCGTCTTGATGGAATTCATCGTGAAAAGACTGATACCAGTGTGTTTGGACCAGGCTGGCTGAAATTTTAAATGTTAAAACACGGCTCATCGGTTGCGGACAGCTTAATTACTGTGTCAGACCGGTTCGTTGGGCATATCACGATGGCAAATAGCCTCTAGGTTCAACGCACATCGTATATGCCAGGGTTAGACACTACGGGACAGGGCCTCATTCACGATGTGCCCTAACCCCTGGATCAGTCCAGACACTCCATATCAGTTTTAACTTTAACGGGGCTAGGTGTCTAAGAATCTAGGTACATTTGATTAGCAGCTTATTCTGTGACTTCCAGTTAATTCACCGTAAATATTTTTTTTGTGATAATACTGTGCAAATCAATGTAGCCGGCTATCGCTCAATCCAACCAAGGCAATTCCATGTCTACAGTTATAATATTTATCACTCTATCCCCATATCTAGTTGGAAGCCATGGCAGCTTTAAGTTCCCACATTATTTGCCCCGGTCGCTCCAATGATCCTTGATCGAACTCCGGTATGCGAGCATGCATTCCATTGTAGTTATCGCACGGAGCATAGTAATTATGCCGATTATGACTCTAATGTCACGTTGAGTCTACAGGTGATAATGAGTTGGTCATTTGAATTTTCGGTGTTGAAGATCATTCCGAATTCACACAAGGATGAAAATTCTAATTCTTGTACAGAAGAATCAGTAAATTGATACGCTGTTTTAACGGCATTTCTTATAACCATGCCGTCATACGTAGTGAACCTTACACTGAGTGAATGCTCGGCCCGACTGGGGCAATATTTTTCCCGGGTCTTCTTTCCGAATCAAATCCACACATGGAATCTTTTGCACACGACTTTAGAGCTATCGATAAGCGCCCCGGATCTGCCGCTATAACGTACTCGTTCTTCCCATCTCTTTAACGCAGAGACCCTGTGATTGGTGGCTGAGCCTCAGACCATGGAACTCTACCTCGTCGAGTACTTTAGAATAGGCTTGGTTGACCGATTGGGATTCTTTACTAATTTGAAGTACCTCTCGTTATGCCGAAGAGAGTTCTAGGGACACAGATCGTGCTCAAGTTGGATCAGTAGTCGTATTATGGCTACGCTAGTCGCAATTAATCTTTAGGGAGGTGATTGTCTTGAACCGCCATCAGGTCCTGGGTGTGATGATAATAAGTTTTGCCGGCAGAACTTTTGTGACTTATCGTTCACAAGTAGAATATATGACGTTGACTCTCAAGTATAAAGACCAGGCAGTATGATTGTAAAACCCTTGACCTCTCTTCGCCAGAGACAGGTCTGTACTCCTGATACCGTGCCCCCAAGTCGCCCATATAAACAGGGATCTGCGCATCGGATGGTTATCGAGATTTACACCGGAATGATACGTATCAAATATCAGCCCCAAAATATATTAATCCACCAAGGCCCTTATCAACTTGGGACATGTCCATTGGTCGCAAGATTCGTGCCCAACGTTTATATTGCTTCGAATAAAATTATTGTTGGCCTTAGGTTGTTGCGAATGAACAGGTGACATAACTACATGTTGGTAAGGCCATTGGTAGAGAAGATCGTTTTAGCCCAAGAAGATCATCCTGCGCTACTAATAAGTCATGGTTGGGAGAAAGCGGCAGCTCGGAGAATAGTAAGGTTTGTTATTGTTGACATTTGTGGAAGAGTCTGACACTTGACTACTCACCGATGTTTCGTGCGTGACACCACGCTTATGCCCAGGCTTGGCTGAGCCTATTTCTCTCATATTCTACAAGAATTGCACAGGGTTGCTTGTGATCATCGGAAATTGGGTGGGATTCTGTTTAGATTGGGGTGATCTCGAGGGAAGAATCGACATTCCCATCATCTGCGGACAATTAGCCATGGCGGGGGGCTAATCCTAATATGCGCTGATAATTAGTTCCATAACGACGGGCATTCGGGGCCCAAAATTGTGTCTTTCTCATCTCTGTTATCGTATTCGACGTTCTCGGCACTCAACCCTTGTTTCCCTGAGTCATGGCGATCGAAAGTGTTTTTAATCCAATGGAAACTTTTTGCGTCAGACTGCTATCTATGTTGGGTGATTAGTCCTTGTTGATACCAATTAGATATCTGAGGCGCATCGGGTTGAGCTCCCGGTAGCTGTGCAAATCATAGGTTAGCTGAATAGCATATCATGAGGCATGGGAAATTCTAAGACATTACATTTCGATGCTCAACAAAGGCGTTCGGACAAAATTAGGCGTCGCCAGGATTAGCATTAAGCCAGCGACATGTAGGGGATAGTGGTAAGTATCGACTGTGTTACTAGCTAAGCTCCAACGGGGTCGAGTGGATTATTCTTTCAGATCGGTCTCAAGGCGGCCATCGGAACCAAAGACCGGAATAGACGTCACGAGAAAGTCTGGAACCATCCATTACCGTCAACCGGGGGGGCCCTGTCTGATCACAATGAAGAATGGGATCCCCGATTTCGATCCTATTGTTATTCTAGCCTGGTGAACTCAACTTCGATGCTTTAGGGCAGCTTTCGATGCCGATGGCTGACGAACATGGATAGGCACCATCACGATCGACTGGGAATGAGGGGGCTCAAAGCGGCATAATCTGGGCAAGTCAGAGGAGTGGAGAAAGTAGCCCTGAGTTTAAGGGACGGAGCGTTTGGTGGACGAAAGGCAGGCTAGGACGAGGGGAAAAGGGTAAAATATACGATATAAATTATAAAAGAAGTAAAAGTTGGAGAAGTTGGAAAAACATCCTAGACGCTTGTCCGATCGACCTCTCCGACAGCGTGGATCCTGACAAGGCCGAGAGTGGAAGAAATTATCCATGTCTATCCGCCTGAACCTGAGGCGATTCATCCATTGTTCGTTTGACGTTGCCGATATTGGAAATTTTTGTTTCCAGCGGTGCTATTTCTCTGCCCATCATTACTGTGCGCTTTCCCTCAATTGGCTGTGTAGTCCACTATAGCATCAACAATCTCGCCTCCACTCTCTGTGGGCTTGACTAAGTGCCTGGGATACGCGGTTGCCTCGTTCCGGCCTCATGCTCCCTCCCCTAATTTCCATGTAGAAAACCCATACACTTTTCCCCATATCTTATTTTTACACAGGTGTCGCACCGTTGTCGATTAAGGCGTGTGGGAGTGTGCGTTGGTTTCACATCTTGCGGTTCTATTGTGAGTACCCAGTTGTTCCTCTTCCCTCCCCGCCTTCGTTAGTCCTAAGCGCCGCACGCCCCACTTACATCTCGATCGCCCTTCAAGTCCGGCAACCTTGATATACTCACGAATCAATCCGCTCAACAGCACGTCGTACTCCATTATCGACACACTGACGTTCGATGCTCCCGATGCATACTGTTCCTATTTTCAATTTAGTCTCGCCATCTATCACGCCAATCTCACTTCATCTAGCGATCATATCAGCATTCTCCTGCCGTTACTCGTCTTCCTATCCGACACACTACTGACGCTGAGAAAGCTGTCCGAATGTCCAAAAGTCCACCAGACTAAGCACGAGAACTTCTCGCTGTCCGTCAATACGACTCCGTCGAAAACTCTCATTACTATCTCTACAGGTTCATTCAATTGATTGCAGCCCATGTGCATAGAGATTGGCCCGTTCAAAGCCGGTTCTCTTATTCTCTCTGCAATTTTAGTACACTGCTTGCTTCGGCCTCCCTCGCGCCGACCAGCTCGGAAAGCACCCCTCAGCTGCTTTCAAAATCAGTATACTTATCTAAAAGTCATCCTCAGGCGACTTGTATCTGTAAATCTAGTAAAAATCGAAGGGACTAAGAATTCGTCTATAGCAAGTTACAGAGAGACTGTTGTATAATATCTACCTACTGCAAGAGAGAAATTCAACACCGTCTTTTCATGCCATAGTTTGTATGGTAGTGAACCTAAACAACCACTTATCATCGTAATACCTCAACACTGTCAAGGTTGCTGATTTGTCTGACCACAAAAGTCCATCCCCATTTATCGAGTTGGTTTGATTCAAGTTTTCCGCATGATCTACCAGCTCTACAAACAACCTAACATCCTCTACTGTATGACTGACCTGGCGGACATCTTCGCCGAGCTTGGTATCTCTCACTACCTCCAGGAATTTATTGAGCAAGGTTTTGATTCCTGGGACACGATTCTTGATATAACCGAATCCGACTTTGACGTGCTCGGTGTGAAGTTAGGGCATAGACGAAAGATCCAACGTCGCATTGCTAATACCCGAGGAGTATCTTCAGATACCGCCTTAGATCCCCGGAACACTCCGCCTATCGAAAGGTTTGTCGAAGAACTGCCGAGAATACGTTCTGAATCAAAGGAAGTAATTTCAGCCCCAAGTGTGAAACGGAAATATCGACGTCATCCCAAACCAGACGAGAACGCGCCTGAACGCCCTCCCTCGGCGTATGTAATATTCTCTAATAAGACTCGTGAGCAGCTCAAAGGGAAGAATCTTTCATTCACTGAGATTGCGAAACTGGTTGGAGAAAAGTGGCAAAACCTCTCGCCATGTGAGAAGGAACTTTATGAAAAACAAGCCTTTACCGCTAAGGAGCGGTATAACAACGAGCTCGCAGAGTATAAAAAGACGAATCGCTACCAGGAGTATGCTCGATACTTGTCCGAATTTAAAGCACGCCAATCCGGATTGCGATGTAAGTCTTGAATTATGCGCTACAGACGCTCTCGACAATGACTAATATGGTGATTCTAGCAAGTGAAGTTGACGGCAATAAACGACCAAAAATCGACAATAGTGCACTAAAGACCCCGTTGTCAAGTGGATCTCCCATGTTTCAAACAGATGAACAGTCAAGTACGTATGCATGGTCCGAATCGACAAATTCAACGGTTCCGACAAGTTTAACTTCAAGTATTCGTTCATGGTCGCCTCATCGAGACATCAAGCAGCCCATAAGTCATCAGGATATGTCTCATGTCGTGACAAATACAGGAAACCCTAATGGTGCGACCACTAGTTCTCCTACGGCAAAAACGCAACCCCTACCACCTGTCTATCACGAGCCAAGTTTCAACGGCCGAATATCACCATCAGGTTATATATGGCGTGAGGTACAGAGTGATGAAGGCGTACCAATGGCTCACGCCTATCCGCGAATTTCTAGTACTGATGGTTGCTGGTCTAAGACAGCCGAGCTTCTTGCGTCCTCTCGTCCTGCATCCATTCACTTAAACCATGCGGCCCAGGTACATCGACCAGCTCTTATTGAGCAAGCGCAGAAAAAGATAGATTCGCCAACATCAACAAAGCCAAAAAGCTCCAGTTCGCCTATTTATTTGAGTCACCGCGCACACATAGAATCTTCCTATGAGCGACCTCTACCTATATTACCGCATTACAGCCACAAGTCGGCTGAGCAAATGGAAAGACAATTACCTCCGTTAATCCGACCTCCATACTCCCCTGTTTCTAGTATACACAGTCCCTCGAGTCAACAACATTACACACCAGATGGTATGTCTAAAATCCTTCTATCTTAACAATTATTTCTTTTTGAGACAAAGTACTCACAATATTTCAGGCTTACATCGTACAATTGATTCCTATCAAAAGCAACCTCTACCTGCACGCTGCTTGAATGATAATCCAAACCAAAATACTCGAGATTATATGGCAAAAAGCAAACCCCCGGAACACCCACTTGACCCCGTAAGCGCTCTTATACGAGCCGGCGAGTTGGTCGGCCAGAACAGTAATGGTCGCTAATTTCTTGTGGTTACTAACCCCGAATCTCGAAACCTAAGTGTGGGCATAACACACGCAGTAAAAAGTTTTTTACGCGTCACGAATAGATAAAATATATTAATGATTGACGCCGGCGTACGTCTTATTCAATTCTGCTACTGGGGATTATATATTGCGGCAGGGGTCAGGACGGCGTTCATTGGGGAAACGGAGTAGGAAGTGAGTGAAGTCGGTCTAATACCCTAAGGTTCTCATGTAACGAACTTCCTGCAGTGGCGGAAAGGTAAAATTAGCTCAAAATTATGCGGAATTGTTTTGTCCTGTTCTAGATGAGATGAAAGAAGATCTCTAGCAGTATGAAATCTTTAAAAATTTCTGAATCTATTTCAGAAAGGCGTAACTTTTATCTCTAAACGTCATGGATTATCAACGTCTTGGCACAAAATATGCGTTTCGTTCACAGCGCCGAGAATTGGAGGGCCTAGCGGATTGGGTAACGAGTTGGATCCTACCAAAGCCCGAGAAATTACCTTGTACCTACAGTCGCTTGCCACTGTCAAACACGAAAAATTTTCCTGATATATTTCTTAAACGTCAGGAATTAAGTGAATTGAGTGACAGACATTTCGCGTCACGCAGGCCAAGGATGTTTAGGTCGGACAGTTGAGGATGTAGGTTTATTAAGGTTTGACTTATGGAGTCATGAAATAGCGATATCCAAGAGTAAGGCTTACATTTGCTCCATATTGTTAGATTATTCATGGGGCTCGGTTGGTTAGACGAAAGTGATGGCTCGCTTCACATATTGTGATAAGTAAATCTACGGAGGGGCAACTTGGCGCTTGTCACCGCCCGAAGTCAGGGAAGATGCATAACGGAATAGCCATCTCGCTCCACCAAGTACAGGATTGTTCCCTTCATTGGGACTCTCGCGTTATCCCGCCTCGATCTCTTCCGCCATTGAAATCCATAACCTCCAGAACGTTCGGTTCGTACGAGCAACATCTACCGCAGCTAACTCTACCACCTCACGCCTCTTTCACATGGCGAGCCTCGAAGCCATAAAATATCAGCGCGGAAAGCTTGATGTTTTGGACCAAAAGCTCCTGCCCCACCAGATATCATACCATAATGTGACATCTTGTGTGGATGCCTTTGAGTGCATCACGAGCATGCGAGTCCGAGGTAAGCAGATCCAACTATTTTTTTTCTAGTTCTGACCTAGATGCTGACATTTTGGGTCTAGGTGCACCTGCAATTGCCATAGTCGCGGCCTTATCCCTAGCCGTGGAACTGGAACAAAAGAGAGACGGTGAGTAATTCCATATCCACGCCGAATATTTCGGGCCGAGAAACGCTCGTGAAATGACTGATGAACGCTCTAGGCGCTACAACACCCGAACTCCTTGTCAGATATGTAGATGCGCAGCTCGATTATCTCTTGGGATCAAGGCCGACTGCTGTTGATCTTTCCAATGCGATTGGACTTCTCAAATCTAGCTTTGCTTACATGCCGATGAGGACAAATCCAGAAAATTCATGCGCCGAGATGCGAGAAGCCCTTATCAATACAGCTGAAAAGATTCTAGATGATGACCTTACCACTAACCTTGCGATTGGAAGATATGGTGCTGAATACCTCAGACGGCAACAGATTCCAGTTTACACCCCCATAAAGGATGTCGATCAGTTACGGTACTTCACCACTAGTCCTCCAGGTACCCAGGGCGCGCCAGACCAGACATATAGAAAGTTAAGTGTGCTCACTCATTGCAACACTGGGTAGGTTTTAGCCAATCACTCCTATTCCACGTACTCAGCTTATCCATATTTATAGCTCTCTTGCGACTTCTGGCCATGGTACTGCGCTGGGAATAATACGATCGCTCTTTAAGATGAGTTATCTACACCATGCTTATTATACAGAAACGAGACCCTACAATCAAGGTTCGCGACTCACGGCTTTCGAGCTATTATTTGAGTCTATTCCATCGACACTCATTTGTGACTCTATGGCAGCGTCACTTTTTGCTCGTTACAAAGATGATCAAAATATAGCCGCTGTTATCGTTGGCGCAGATCGGGTGGCTCGCAACGGAGATACGGCCAACAAAATTGGCACATATGCCCTTGCCATACTCGCTCGCCACCATGGCATAAAATTTATTGTCGCTGCCCCAACAACGTCCATCGATTTATGCACGGAGACGGGGGTTGGAATCCGGATAGAAAACCGTTGTAACTCAGAAATAACGCAAATATCGGGTGCCTTAGTTGACCTTGATGGTAAAATCGACCCGAATCGTTCGGCCCGAGTAGCTATTGCAGATCAGCGAGTCAACGTGTGGAATCCTGCATTTGACATCACGCCAGCTTCCCTAATCGACGCCATTATTACTGAGCGCGGAGAAGTACTCCGAAATTCTAGCGACACGTTTGATTTCCGACGCATTTTGAGTGATAGATGGGCTCGGGAGGTGAGGGACACGATAGATGAAGAATTAGTAGTCGGTAGCGACGACAGCACGCAATTCCCGATGGAAGTCTGATTTGGTAAGAGGTAAAAGTTATTGATGCGTCAGGAGATTTTCAGATTAATGTAACCACGATCAAGAAATGGCCCTAGCCGTGTTCAATTTTGATGAAATAGAGGATGCAAATTAATACTTTCATCATCAGGTTAGCGTTGCGCCAAGGCTAATAATGAATCATGTAAACATATTTCAGTCACAGGGCTCATATGTTTACTGATAACTTTTCATACGACAGTATTTAAACTTCAATTCACATAGGTAGAAATAATATGATCTGATGCTCGAAGTCTACTAATTCTCTATCATAGTTTGAGCGTCACGAAGATTCATATTGAAGTATTTGTATGAAGTCGTATTTCAAACTCGAACTTTTCATACCGATTTATCATTCCTCTTGTGCTACTGTCTTTTCTTTTGCTTGTTAGATGCTTTAATTTTCTGTTCTTTTTACAGCTCACAGATAAAAGTTCAGCTGGAAGAGTCGCTTATAGAGTACGTGCCCCAGTAAGCGGCTTCAATTGTTCCATCCGTGTACAAAGATTGAGCATTAATTGAATGGTTTGGATTATTGCCGTGGTCTGAAACTGTCTCATGGATTACGTCACGGGTTTCTTCGTGGAGGAGCTCGCCAACGCTAGCACTTTCAGCCATAATACGGCGAGCCTCTGGCAAAGTAATCTGTAAATCCTCAGTGATGAGGCGTGCAGCGACCTCTGGCACAAGCACAGATTGTACATAGGGTGTGTAACCTCGGGCAGCCATAAGACGATCCTGAATGATGTATTCTTTCAGCAGTGGCGTAAATTCGCGAAATATATTTTCAGATATTATGCGTAGGCCACGTGGACCATAGTATCCTGGAATCAGATTGCTTGTCATCGTTCGGAGATTCCGGTCTTTGCCTTGGTCCACCTTTTCCTGCAAGAGGGCACGGTAGTACGAGGTTTCGCCTGTAATCAGACGTTGAATTAATCCGTGGTGATTAGAAACGCGGGCATCTAATAGGTCCCATTCGATAGAGGGATAACGGTTACTCGTCCAATTCTCTTTGGCTGTCTTTATACGGTGGGAGAGACAGAACTTTTCCTGCTTTCGGGTGTTCATTGGACCATATTCTCTGAGCTCATCTGAGCCTACAGGTTCATAGCACATAGGGCATAGCGCCAGTGGTGGTTTAGATGCTAAAATACTAATCAAACCACTAGATCCTAAGTTTGGAGATTCTTCATCAGATATGTAGGCTTTAGACACATGATATGAGCTGATAGGACTCTCATCAAATCCAAGATCCAAGTAGGCCTTAAAAGATTTTGATGGGGTGGTGGACCTAGCTATCCCATAATCTTTATCTTTTGAATGCACGACTGAACTGTTAGCTTCGCTACTGGATTGTGGTGTGTTGTCTACGGTTATGACTTTAAAATTCGGCAGCTGAGCATTACTTTCTTCCATAAAACTCTCTGTGCTATCAATGTCGAGACGTTTCAAGCTTTGGGTTGAATCAAATTTTCTGATAAGTGGCTTATCAGGGTTTCCAGTAACATCTCTCTTAGATGTTGTAGCAAATTCTGGATCAAGAAATTCTCTACAGGGCGGCTTGAAAGTTTTTGGGATCTCGATATCAGATTCATCTGAATTACTGGCGACAAATTTGATGGGGTCAATTTTTTTCTTTCTTGAATCTTAAAATTATCAGCTATAAACAATCATCAATGTCAGAAACAAACCACTTGATTTGCACGAAGCGCTAGAATGAAATAATGGAAGATTTTGTAAATTTTTGGGACTGCTCTTTCCATAAACAGCTCGTATATTTCTCTTGCTGACATTATTTCTCTTGGGGGCTTCGTTATTGTGAGGGAATGTTCGTGATGAAAAGATATTATCTTCTGACAGATTCTTGTTTTGGGTCACTGTTGAGTTGTCAATGGAGTCAAAGCCCATCCTCAATCTATAATTATTGACACCCCCATATCGCGGCCGCAACCTCTTTGTCGCATAGGTCTGATCCTCCTCTTCTCTTTTGATCTTTTTTCCCACAAGTCTTTTAGGATTGATATTTATATCGTTTTCTTCTGTCGAGCTCGATAGGCTGCGAGACCGTGTCATGTTCCTCGCGCCTTTCTTCAGCCTGCATGGCCAGGTTCTCCGTAAGCCTACCAGTAGTCTCCAAGTTATCCTTTGAGTGCTTCTAAAACCTCAGCATCTGTTATTTGCAAATAGGGTCGTTCAAACGGGGTCTTTATAAGATGTAATGATGCCTGTATAAATTCATCGACCTTGCAACGTAGTTGGAATTTGGTTGAATAAAGTTTGCCGAGTTTTTATCACGTGCTAGAAGGTAAAGAAGTCACAACGCCATCACCATCTTAGGAGTTTCCACCCAGATGTTATGATAGTGCACAGTAGCTTTCAGAACTGACGAGTACTATCACAAAATGACACATCAATTGATTCGTAAATATGCCAATCTACCAGATCTAGTTCGTAAATCGGTAATAGCTATTCAGTATTTGTTCTAATATTAGTTAGGACTCGGCACCAGATGTCTATGAAACCCCGGAACTGACTGACGATAACTCGATCGCCGCTGTAGGTCAAGATTTAACCTTATTTTATTTCCAATTCTTTGGATCTAACTCTTAAAGGGTCGAGATCGCTCGGCATCTAACTGCTCTAACAACTCTTCGCACCAAGAATTCGAAAATATCAAGGAAGGGAGATCTGGAATTTCGAGGTCTCGACTTCACCTCGACGAGGCTCGCTCACACTTTGCAACCACCGTAGTAGACGCTCGGGGTGCGGATTTTTCGGATCGGTTAACTGCAAAAAGGAAATCATACAAGGTTTCGAATCGTCGTCAAGCACAGTCAAGTGATACTGGAAAATACGGAAATTTTAGTGATGAAGAAGAAATTGAAGGCTTAGCAATAAAGTTCGCAAGGCTAAAGCGAGAAGTCGAGGAACTCAAAATCGAGTATGAGAAGAGACAGCTTGAGGAGAAAGACATCAAAAGAACAAGCTCAGAAGATTTAGAGCCTCAGGTAAACGCACTATGCAGGGCACTAGAATCTATTTCATCGAACCAAATGTCTTCAAAATGCAGCAAAAGTTCAAAGTTCGTCAAGGATTTAGGGACAGGAATCAAAGCAGAAGGACCGGCGGAGACTGCTCAAGGTGTTACTGAACCTGCGACTTACACTGTAACATACGCACCCACTTTTCAACAAAGCCACGCTCTGGCAAAGGCAGCAAATTTTGATGCTCGCTTGTCGTCGCTAGAGAAGACGTTGGGGACCTATCCTATGGACCTTTGCCTTGGTAGATCAGGTACCTCATCAAACACACTTTTGCCAGCACTCGAGAAAATGCAGCGTCAAATTATGATAATTTCTCAAACCACACCATCCTCACTTGATAGTATAAGTCGCCAGATTCGGTCACTCACGCAGGAAGCAAAAAAATTAGAAGATTCTAGAAAGGCTGCCAAAAAAGCTCAAGACGCTTTACAAAATTCTACTGAAGAGCCCCTATCCAAGAATAACGAGGACTCAGAACAAACTGCAAAGATCAATGCTTTGTATGGGATGCTTCCGACAATAGAAAGACTCACACCTATTATTCCACCTCTACTAGATAGATTATATTCTTTGAGGGCTATTCACGCCGATGCTGCAGGTACTAAATCAACGCTAGATAGAGTCGAAATGCAACAAACCGAAATGGCACAAGAAATAAAAAAATGGCGAGAAGGTCTCGATAAAATGGAGAAAGCAATCATAGAGAGAGACACGACTATAGGTACTAATATGCAGACAGTAGAGAGTTGGATAAAGGGAATAGAGGAAAAAGTATAGATGTCCGGTTAGATCTCTCTCAAAAAGCAAATAAAAGCTTTGAGATTTGGTTGAATTGGACTATCTTACATTAACAATAGCGCACTAAGGGCAAGTACAATAAAATATCTAGCCACCTTGAGCCCTCCAACACTTCAGATTAAAATAATCCCGTAAAAAGGACACCTTAGAATTGGAAGGGACTAAGAAATCTAGGGTATGAAACCTATTTCGTAGCATCGAACTATGATTATGTTTCTCCTGAAGCTAAGCGAAATATGATAAGTAATACTGTGCTTCCAAGACTTTAGAAGCAAGAATTAAGTCGAAATACCTATTAAACCGTGAAGGTTCTGTAAGAAATCGAAAATATTCCGAGGAGATGTTAATATTTGCTCGTGTCAATCATAGCATTTATTGCTTAAAGATAGAAATGAATTGCTGTTCCCAATAAAATTATAAAATATTAAAGAAAAAATTTCACAAGGGAAATACGAATATCGACACTTATCACCAGCGTCACCTTTCAAAATAATACTACAAAGTCTATTCTAAGCAAAAATTCGCCTGCGAATAATTATGGGATAAACATGAACTGACGGGTAGAATAGACAAAGGCTTTTTGCTTAGTAATTTGGCCACAAAATCGGGTTGTTAATAGTTAACCACCGCAAAAAATCAAAGAGAGACTCATGGTTAGCATGAGATCCATGAGTAAACAGTATGTATACAGGTTAAAAATCAATCGATGTCCTTGAAAATTTGTATTTCATTATAGCTGTCCAATCTTAAGTTAGATTTATAAACTAGCTTTTTTAATCATCGTACTATCAACAAATCTTCACATCTTTGAAAAATTATTGTTGCAAACTAGGTCTGTGTGAATGTATGAACCCAAGGAAGTCACGCTGATACAATAACAAAGCGTTAGAGATAAGAACCTCAATATTGGCGACAATCCATCTATACAAAATATTGATAAGCTAGTGCAACGCTAGTATCATGGAATTCTAAGAGGTATGAATTTGATGTATCAAGAACTCTAGCGCAGAGCTATATAGGCTCAAGTAAACATGGCATTAGCTCATCAGAAAAAGTTGCTCTTTGGACGGTTAAAGTTTTCGTTATTGAACATAGGTATTAGAATATGATTCCTCTAGACGGATATTACAGTAGTACTGAAAGTAGAATTGATAAAGTATAGGGTTAACAGAACGTGTATATTACTCTGCTCACTCAGTATTTAGGATTGGCTGCGACTATGCTCCTACTAATATGTGTCTACCAGCCTCGCTTATACGCTAATATGAAACTACTAATACAGGGTATATAAGATCTCCAAACGCCTTACCCATCTTACTCGTAGGTAAACACTAATCACAACCATAACTCCATTGTGTTAAGGCACAGGGAGGATTGTGTTTGACCAACAATCTTATAGTTTAACAATAGGAGTTGTTGCTTTGGACAGCAGCAAGTATAAGCACCGACAAGAAAACAGGTAGAAAAAGAATCACCTACAGAAACACACCCTCTAACATCCACCGAAACCTGAGCAGGGCCCAAAGTAGTATTGCAATACAAATAAGAAGTGAGCATATCGGCCTCAACTCTTATCTTTATAGAAGAAAGGTCCCTGGAGTGGCAAATCCAAAGTGCCAGTGTGGATATCCGTCACAAAACGTGAAACATATGGTCATAGCTTGTCCTCAGTGGGCTAAGGGAAGAGTAGAGGTGCTGCAACAGGTAAAAGATAGGTCTTTCGAAGCTATGATGAACAGCCCGGAAGACATGAAGAGAATTACAGATTGGATACTTACAAACGGCTGGCTCGAACAGTTCCGGCTTGCAGAAGAAGTTGAGACAGCAGTCAGCGAAAGGATTGAGCGATCGGGAAAATGATAGGACGATATTCACACTGGACGCACAGTGTAAGCGCACTTCCTATAGGAAACATCGGAAATCATATAGACACGAGACAGACAGTTGTGGGGGGTTTTTACCAAATATGGTTTCCTCCTGTGTAAATATTATAGCTAGATATTCCTGCATGGGCCCATAGGGTACCTGAACGGGCTAAATGAAATCAAATCAAAAATAGGAGTTGTTGTAATTAGGGGAGTAACATGATTGCATTACAATAAACTGTTCACATTAGAATAATGTGCACATGTGCACATGCGCCATGAGATATGATTGACCTAGATCATCACTCATTGGTATGACATAGTATTTCCCAATAGATTCTGAATGGTATCTATTGGCGCAAGGATCTCTCATATCCTTCCTTTCTTGGTTACATAAGGAGACATATTGGAACATCCAATAGTGTGCAGGAACCCCCTTACTTATCTATACGGAGGAAGGTCCTGTCACGTAGATAATATAAGCAATTCAAACAATAGGAAATTTAAACAATCTCCACATTATTCATGCACTTGAGAATACCAGGGAATATCCTCAAGTTCTTCTATTGATCCAAGTCCTAAGAGTATAGCTCACGAACTTCACTTCTCTTAAAGACATGGCTACCTCCTTCCCTACCTACGTCCTGACGGTACGTCATTCCAGCTCAGCATAGCCATTCAATAGGAGATAGGTCGGAGTTTTATGGGGGGACACAAATCATTTATTGTGTTTTCAGCTATCTAGCTATGACATATGACCGGTGATAAAATTCCTGAATATTCGAAAGAGAATCAATTAGATACCCCGTTATCAGTACCGTTCCCCTCCGAATCACATACATTTACGCTAGTCCGAATTCTCACAGTAGCAAGACCACGGATCTCCAACATGTCTCCGGGGCCTGCCAAATCATCGCGACCTATTCGCCTTAAAAGAACCATTGATAGAGCGAATACCAGGCTGGAAAAGCGCTTGGTAAAAAAGAAAATACCATTGAGCTCGATAGACGGGCGAAAAATGGAGCTGGACATGGCCGAAAGGATGAAAGCCTTCTAAGAAGATTCTAACTCCTTAAACCCCGATGTTGAAATTGGTGATGCGGTTATAGACCGATATATCATGGGGGGGCTTGAGAGCTCACGATGGAATATCAATGAACCCAAAGACGGTTAGGTCTTAGAGGCCCCCGTCAATATAAACACAAGGAAGATTGCTGTGCCGGCCATAAAGCGGACAGCTAATGCTAACTTAAAAAAAGCTGACGAAGTCGCGTCCACCACAACCCCTCACAATACCATTCCGGGGGAGTTGGAAATCTAGACTTAGTATATATGAAGGTTTAGATTTCTAGGTATGATCATCAAAATCAATTGAGTTGATTCGATTGAATATGATTAAGCTCAGATGGGCAACATGAGGTTCAGTGGTATCTGAAATACAGTGGCTAGGAAATGCTACCTTGCGATAATTAAGTGGCTGGTTGTTGCTATATCACCTGGATTTGGGATGACTAAAGCCTCGGGGATCTGTATTTAAGGATAGACTTATTTGTGTATATTTGATTTGATTTGATTTCATTTAGCCCGTTCAGGTACATCTAGCTATCATATTTACACAGGAGGAAACAAAATTCGGTAAAAACCCTCCACAACTGTCTATCTCGTGTCTATTTGTTTTTAAAGGTATCCTACAGGAAGTGCGTTTACACTGTGCGTCCAGTGTGAATATCGTCCTATCATTTTCCCGATCGCTCAATCCTTTCGCTGACTGCTGTCTCAACTTCTTCTGCAAGCCGGAACTGTTCGAGCCAGCCGTTTGTAAGTATCCAATCTGTAATTCTCTTCATGTCTTCCGGGCTGTTCATCATAGCTTCGAAAGACCTATCTTTTACCTGTTGCAGCACCTCTACTCTTCCCTTAGCCCACTGAGGACAAGCTATGACCATATGTTTCACGTTTTGTGACGGATATCCACACTGGCACTTTGGATTTGCCACTCCAGGGACCTTTCTTCTATAAAGATAAGAGTTGAGGCCGATATGCTCACTTCTTATTTGTATTGCAATACTACTTTGGGCCCTGCTCAGGTTTCGGTGGATGTTAGAGGGTGTGTTTCTGTAGGTGATTCTTTTTCTGCCTGTCTCTTGTCAATGTTTATACTTGCTGCTTTCTAATGTTCTTGGCCTGCTGACGCCTGATGAGAAGATAGTCGTTCTTCCTTAAAAGTATTCCATGCGGTTTCCCAGTCCTGGAATGCTCCTATCTTACCCGCTTCTTTTTGTCTACGCCTCACTTTTTTCGTTCCTGCAGATTTTATTCCACTCTCTTTGTATATGTTAAAACGAAGTTAACGGAATATTATTGTTTAATGACTTAACGATCAAATGATCAATATGTATTTCCTTAGAACTAATGACTAATTGTGTTGATGAGTAATGAGGTACCCGTTTGGGAATGGCGTTAGGAGACGGAGGTTTTACGGTTTAAAGATGTTTTTCTTCTAGGAAGACAGGGGGGAGATAGATCAATTCATACGTACCATAATTGTTACTGCTACATCAAGCTTGTGATATCAATTACCACCGAAGTATTCCGACAATTATATACTATTAATTCATCTTGAGAAGGGAGTTCGATATCATATACAACTATCAATAAATTCTTGTCCGAAATTGTTCACTTGTTCTTCGAGATATTTCCTCCTAGAAATCCTTGAAAATTTCTAACAGGGGGCAAGTGGAAACAAACAATCTTCTTGCAGCTATATTAGCTCCAAGAACACTGCGACTTGTCCTCCTGAGCTTCGAGCCATACTTGAAGCCGAAGTACAGCGGGCGGCCCAGACCGCATTTAACCTCACAATATGCACCGCTGCCATCAACTGTGTGAAGAATGCACTCGCACCTCTATCTAAAGGGCCAAGCGTTCAATTTATAGACTCTATGAAAGTCTACCTCAGAGCTGCAGTAGCTCAATTCATGTTGTCGGGACCAGGAACAGTCCTTCCCAACCTCCCCCCACGACCAAACTGCCAGAATCATGGCGGAAAGATCGTGGAAAAATCAATACAAAAGCAGCTAGAGCAGCTACAAAAAGAGAACCTGGCGAGGATAA